AGCCCACAACTGGGCATGTGCCTTGACCAAAAATTGAACTGGCAACCTTTTGGTGTATAGGACAACACCCAACCAACAGCCACACCGTCCAGGGCAGGAAAGGATTTTATTTTTTAATGTGAGGGAGGGAGAGAAACATCAACTGGGGCCAAGGATCAAACCTGTGACCCAGGTACATTCCCTTGACCGGGCATTGAACCTGTGACTCTTTGGTCCACACTGACACTCCAACCACTGAGCAAAACCGGCCAGTCTGAAAGGACTTCTCTTTTTTCAAAAAATATGTTTTTATTTGATTTTTTAGAGCGAGATAGAAACGTCAATGTGAGAGAGAGACATTGACTAGTTGCCTCTCTCACGACCCGGACCAGGACCGGAGATGAACCGCAACCAAGGAATCGAATCCGAGACTCTAGTCCCTGGGCCAATGCTCTAACCGCTGAGCCAAACCAGCGAGGGCAAAAGGACTTTTCTTAATGCCAACCTGTAGTGTAGATAGGATTGAGGTCTGGGGGCAAGGACCATGAACCCCACAGAGGGGGTAGGGGATTGTGTTCCCCTCAACTGGCTTTTTCTGTGATGTCAACACTACCTCCTGGGAAAGCTCCTCCCTACCCCCACATCCTTAAAGCAAGTCCTACTTATGCTCGTGTAGTAATTGTCCTTATAGGATTGAGAACATAGCTCTAAGAACTTAAATGTGCCTGCCCTGTAAAGAAAACCAACATAGTTGCTACCATTGGGCTAAAATATGTAATATTACATTTACAGTGTCAGGAAATTCTGTGGAATGGCACATGTATATGTACAGCTTGTACTGGTTCCAGGACCACCCAGAGATGTTCAAGTCTCTTAGACTCCATAACCAATGCAGAATTTCACGTTGGGGAGTTCGGTGTTTTTCCCCATTTTTACAAGAAGCCAGTGAGCTCTATTGCTCTGGGAAGGACATCTGCATCCATACCAGTCTTTGCAGCTAAGCTAGATGTCCCAGCCATCTGCCAAGTGAGGTCCTACTATTTCCCCCTGCCAGGAGTACGGGGGTCATCTTACCACACTAGAATGTTTTTTTTTGTTTTTTTGTTGGTACATGCTTCTGGCAGGAACTGAACCCAGGACACTCTGGCCCGCAGGCCAGTGCTCCAACCGCTGAGCCAAACCGGCCAGGGCTGTTTTTTTTTTTTTAATCCTCACCCAAGGACATTTTTTTTTCTATTTATCTTCATATAGAGTGGGAGGGAGGGGGAGAGAGAGAGAAACATCGACTGGTTGCCTCCAGCACAACCCGACCAGGGCCAGGGACAAACTACAACTGGAATAAAACTCGAGACTCATTGGTCCCCAGGCTGATGCTCTACTGAGCCAAAACATCCAGGGCCAAGGCCGGTCCTAGAATGTTAATTGGGGGAGAAAGTTACACAAATGTTTATAGCAGAAAGAACTTGAGATTTACTGTTAGTTGCTTTGTTAGTATCTGATACCCCTACCTTAGATACCTTCAATGAGGAGTTCCCTTACTAATGGAGATTTCCCTTACAAATGTAAATGTCTTTTACGGAGAGTAACTGCTACCTGGCTTTCAGAGCTGTCTGCTGTTTCTTAAAATTAACCAGCCTAAAATAATCTTTAAGCCAAAGAGACATATTTTGAAGTGATGGATTCCCCCCCTACATCTCCTAGGCTACAAAGCTGTACAGCACATGACTGAATAGGCAATTGTAGCAATGGTATTTGAGGAATGCATTGCACTGTATTACAAGGGCTACCTCATAAGCAACAGGATTTTTCAGGCTCATTAGTACATGCGACCACCAATTTATATGCAGTCTGCCACACAGAAACCTCATGCGGCACTGTCAAGTTCTTAGAGGTGGAGATGGAGAGTAGAGTTGATTGAGCACCAATTCGTTTTCATATTAGCAGATGAGACCATGGGCCTAGTGGCAAAATGCAGCTCACCAAGTGTTTTTTGTTTTTGTTTTTTCTTTATGCTCACCCAAGGACATTTTTCCATTTTTTGTTCAGATAGAGTGGGAGGGGGAGAGAGAAACATCGACGTGAAAGGGACACATCGAGTAGCTGCCACCCACACAACCCAGTCAGGGCTGGGAACAAACTGCAACCGAGGTACGTGCCCTTAGTGGGAACCAAACCCGCATTTCTCCGGATGGCAGGCTGACGCTCTAACCGCTGAGCCAAACCGGCCAGGGCACCAAGTTTTTTTTATGGGAGCTGGAGTTAACTTGGGTTAGCTTAAGGTTGACTGACATTACTCTCCCCAAACAGGCAGTAGTGTCCCAAGGAAGGCAGCCTCCAGCCACCCTTCCCCTTTTAAGCTTGATTTTTGCTGTAGCTCAAGATGGTTCACAGCAGGGAGGCTGTAGTCCAGCAAGGTGCCCCTGAGGAGAGGCTTCAGAGCTGGGCTATGAAACAGGTAGTTGGGCAGGCAGGAGAAACGGAACTCGGGCAGACCAGGAGTGGCTGAGGCAAGCCTGCTCGCGGTTTTCCCACAGGATCCAAAGACACCCCCAGCCCTGGCCGGTTTGCTCAGTGGTTAGAGCGCCGGCCTGCGGTCCAGAAAGACCCGGGTTCGGTTCCCACCAAGGGCCTGCACCTCGGTTGTAGTTTGTCCCCAGCCCTGGTTGGGTCATGCAACCACTCGATGTGTCCCTTTCACGTTGATGTTTCCCTCCCTCCCACTCTTATCTGAACAAAGTATGGAAAAATGTTCTCGGGTGAGGATTTAAAAAAAAAACAAACAAACAAAGACACCCTCACCTCCCTTATTAAGGTTCCTGGCTTCCTCCCAGAGGCACAGCTGGGATGCATCTGGAGTAGCTGAGGGCACTTGCCTCTCCTTCCCCTCCAGGCCTTGGAGTAGACATCCCCTTTCTCCCTCCCCCTGGAGCAGACATCCCCTTTCTCCCTCCCTGACGCCTCCTCAAATACCGGGAATTCCGGCGCCGCTGGGAGCCGAAGTCAGGCTGGGAACTTTCTCGTGCAGCTGGGGGTGGCTGGGAATGTGCAGCTGGGGTGGAGGAGGGGAGGGCCAGCCTCTGTCCTGACCTTGGGGAGGCTGCAGTGGAGCAGTCCCAGGCCCTGGTGTGGAGCATGGTAACCGCTCATACCTGAAAAGCCAGAGGCTAACACTTTTGAGCCAGGCCAGGTCCTGGACACCTTACCACCTAGGACCCTTGGAGTCCCCCGAGCCTCAAGTGGGTGGGGAAGTGTTCCTTCCTGTGCCCCCAGTGGCAAGAACAGTGAACAGCACTCAACAAAAGTAGGGCTTCGGTTGGGCTGCTGCGGGAGATGGAATCCCAGCTCTGCCCCTTCCTGTGACTGGGCAAATTCCTTATCCAATCTAGGCCTCAATTTCCTCATCTCTAAAGTGGGGATTAAAATCCTCATTTGCCTTTTAGGGCTGTTGTGAGGACTCCAAGTGAATGAGTTCATATGAAGTGACTAATGCCCATGGTATGCCATTAGTACTCAATAAATCTCAGGCTTTTTCGCTGCTGTTACTTGATTGCTGAAACTTCAGATTCCTAGGCTCCTGTCCTGGAGGTTCTGACGCCATAGTCTGGGACTAGATCCTGGGGCCTCTGTGATTTGAACAATGTGCCAGTGGGTCAGAGGCTCAGACACACTTGGGAATTGAAGATACTATCACTGAATCTACGATGATCCTTCAAGACCGGTACTGTTGTCTTCATGGTACATGAGAAAACCCTGGCTCAAAGGGTTACATTGACACTGGAACCTCAGAGGATTCCAGGGAAGGTTAAATTAGTGTGAAAGTACAAGAGGGTAAATGTTCAATGAAAGAAGCTAATGTTACCAAAGAAATTGATTAGATGATGCTTCTCACTGGGTATGCCATAGCAGGGAGGGCACAGAAAGATCCTAATATAAAAAGCCAAAGAAAAAAGTTAAATTAAAAAAAGCCTTTGGCCTTGGCAGGTTGCTTAATGGTTAGAGCACCATCTCCATACACCAGGTTATTTTGATCCCGTCGGGGCACATACAAGAATCAGCCAGTGACTGCATAAATAAGTGTAACAACAAATCAGTTTCTTTCTCTCTCAAATCAAATTAAAAAGAAAAAAAGCCTTTGTGTCTATGACCTTAATGTTTGGGGGTGGGGCACACTGAGGCACTACATAGAGTTCTCCAACTACAGAGGGGGAAAAGAGATCTGATTATGTGTGGGTGAGCACAAGAACTGGAACATTCATGAAGGTGGGGAGTGGTTGCCAGGAGAAAGACAGAGGAGGGACAAACTTTTCTCAGAATCTCAAACCTGATCCACTCTGATATTAGCATGGACCTGTCTCAGAAGTTCTGTTCTACCAAGACCCAGCAGAATCCAATTAAGGATGGATAGTGGTTGAGATTGTTGATGGATCAGAAGAGGGTTGTGTGAATAAGATGCATGGTTGAATAGACAGACATGGATGAATGGAGAGGGTTGGATGGAGATGGACAGATGAGATGACAGGTGGATCCATGTATGAATGGAGGAATGAATGCTAGTTGGGTGGGTAGGATGATGGATGGATGAACAGAGATGATTGAATAAATCAAGCCATGTGGGAGGGATAATGGACTGGAAGATGGATGAAATAGACGGAAAGATGGCTGCATGGATAGATGTAAAGATGGCTGAGCGGATGAGATAAATGGGTGACAATGAACACATGAACTGGATAGACTAAGGGAATAATTTCTACTCGAAACAAACTTTCTAACTTGGCATCTCTGGACGGGCATCAAGCAGTTCATAAACCCTCTGAAATCATACACTAAATTGTAATGTCCAGTTCCCAATAATTCTCAAGAGTTTGAGACTCCCCAAATCTTCAGAACTAGAGTTGTGCTGTGACGGATCTTCCCATTCATTGCTCTTCTGTTATCCCCCACTATCTCCAGAATAGGAAAAGAAACATAATCTCATGGTATTAATTAACAAAATATTAATGAAATCCCCTTCCCCACCCCTGTTGAGTTAAGGTAAGTAACAAGGACCACTCGCCAAAGCAGACCCCGAGTTGGAAAAGCTGCAGCAATTTTAGACTTGTGTTCAGTGTCTGGACTTCCGGGTGAAGTTCTGAGAGTCTGTGGCATTTGGCTGAAGTCCTTGCTTTTCAAGAAGCCCGATATCCTGGCTCACATGTGGAAAGGGGCATCAGGAGCCCCCTGGACTCTGCGAAGGCCCACCGATTCCTGGGTGGAGGCCAACAGAGCAGGGTGGTTCAACCTGACCTGGGCCTTGGCTGGCCGTAGCCGCCCGCCACCCCCAACATGGATGTTGACTGTGGTGGCATAGCTGAGCCTTCTAGTCGCAGGCAGCTGGGGCTGGGGTGGTGGTGAAGGTGCCCGTGATGTGGGGGCAGAGGAGGACCAGGGACCCCGGGAAGCTTGGGAGGCCTCTCGTCCAGGCCCTTGCCGCCGAGCTAGGCTCTGGCTGATGTATGAGGCTGCCAGGTATCTTGAGAGAGCAGCTGCATTGGGGCCCAGGAGCTGACGGGTTGGGGGTGGGGGACTGTGGGGTGGAGTCAAGTCTGAAGACTCTGACCTGGCGATAGGAGAAACCGAGTGGCCACCTGGTCTGGACAAAACCACAGTGGTCTGAACTGGGGTGGGGGACAGGCCCTGAATGTCCCACAAGCCTCCTTGCTCAGGCAGAGGGATGGCAGCTGGAACATGGATGTCTGTGAGGCTCTTCTGCTCCACCAAAGGTGTAGGTTCGAGGACCTGGAGGTCTGTGAGGCTTTGCTCCTGGAGCAAAGGTACAGCAGTGGGACCCTGGATGTCTAGGAGGCTTCCCTGCTTGGGCAAAGGTGGGAGTGCTTGGACCCGTGTGTCCATGAGGCCTTGGGGCTGGGACAAAACGGTGGCAGCTGGAGCCTGAATGTCTGGGAGGTCCTGGGGCAAAGACAATGGAGCACTGGCTGGGATCTGATGGTCTAGGTGGCCCCCATGTGCAGGCAAAGGTGAGGTATCCCGAACCTGAATGTCTGGGAGGTCCTGGAGCAAAGACAATGGAGCACTGGCTGGGATCTGACGGTCTAGGTGGCCCCCATGTGCAGGCAAAGGTGAGGTATCCGGAACCTGAATGTCTGGGAGGTCAGGTTCCAAGGGCAGTGGGGTGTTGGCTGGGATCTGATGGTCCAGGCAGCTTCCAAGCAGAAGCAAAGGGTCAACGGCTTGGATGCAGCCAGTGGCTGGGGACCGAACCTCCCTGGAACCTCCCTGCTTAGTTAATGGGGTGTTGGCTGGGCTCTGGCAGTCAAGGTGGCCTTCTTGCTTGGGAGTAACAGTGGTGGCTAAAACTGTGACGTGAGAGCTTCCCTGCTTCGGCAAAGCTGGGGTGGCTGGAACTTGGCTGTCTGTCTGGCATTCTTGCTGAAGGGAAAAGATGGCAGCTGGAAGCTGTATATCCCTGTGGCTTCCATGCTCAGGCAAAGAAGTGGTAACAGGAACGTGTGTTTCCAGGTGACCTTCTTGATCAGGTGGAGCTGGAATAGCTGGAACCTGCACACGTGGGGGGCCTTCCTGCTTGGGAAAAGGTTCGGTGGCTGGAATCTGGATGTTGCAGAGGACTTGCTCAGGAAGAGGGGTAGCAGCTGGAATCTGGGTGCCCCGATGGTCTTGTTCAGACAAACTGGAAACATCTACACCCTGGCCACCCAGGCAGCCTCCCTGCTTAGACAGGGGTGCAGCAGCTTGAACCTGGGCAGCGGGGCCCAGGGGGACAGATTCCTGGGCCAAAGTCAGTGGGAAGGCCAGCTCACATACCAACACGTGTCCAAAGGCAGGCAGGGGCCCTGTGTCCGAAGAAAGGAGGATTGAATCAGGACTGGCACCGCAGCATGGGCCACCTCTGCCAACCACATACCTGGACCTCACCTGGCTCGGCCTGCTCATGGAGCAGGCAGGGAGACAGCTGCGGTTGGGCCAGTGCCCGTGGCCGGCGGCGGGGCGCATTGGCCGACGCCCGCGTCTCAGCCCGCTGCATCTGCTGGATCCGCTCGCTGTAAAGCCGGGCCAACTCTCGCACTCGGGACGCAGCCCGCTCCACGCTGGGAGCTCGAGCCTTCCCACTCCCACTCCCTCCACCCAGGTCTGAATCTTCCAGAATCAGCAGCGGTTCTGGGAAACCCGGCCGGGCCAACTGGCCCTGCTCTAGAGCCTGCCAGGCGCTCCGGATTTCTGAGCAAGAGCGGAATCCCAGCTCATCCTGAAATCCAGGATTCCGGATGCCGTCCTGGGGCTGGAAATCTGGAAATGATACCCCTTCCTCCTCTTCCTCTTTCCTGGCCCTGCCACCTGAGGTGGGCTCTCCCAGTTCTCCAGAACTGCCAGCCGAGAGCAGGTCCCTCCTGGTGGCTAGAGCCTCGTCTGGCTCCTGCAGAGGGCCCGGCAGCCAGGAGTCCCGGGGGAGGGCGGCAGGGCTGGGAAGACCAGGCATGCTGGGGACAGTCGGTATGACTGGAAGGCAGGGCATTTCAAAAACACTGGAAATGTCGGAGAGACTGGGAAGGTGGGGAATGGGGGGAATTTCAGAAAGGCTGGAAATTTCAGGGAGGCTGGGCACGGCAGGGTTTTTGGTAAGGCTAGGAATGTCGGGAACTTCAGCGGCACTGGAACTTTCAAGTCCCTCTAGCACGTGGAGTGGGGAAGGGCCCCGGTCGTCCATTTCCAGCTCTTCCTCCTCCTCTTCTGAAGAGTCCCGGCTGGGCAGGGCGGGGAATGTGACGCTTTCACCTTCACATGGCATCTGGGAGTCTCCTGGGAACTTGGGAATGTCGTGGGGCGGTGCCTGTAGTGGGCACTGGGAAGAGACCAAACATCAGGGTGCGCTGGCCCGCCCCGGCCCCTGGCCTGTGCCTGCCCGAGCGAACAGCCCCAAGGATGCCGCAAGGGGACGCCCAGCTCACCCCCGCATCCTGGAGGCCTCTTTGATTCAGTAGTTCCAGGATTTCTTCAGTGATTGAGGTCCCAGAGGGGTCCAGCATTGGGGGTTCAGTGTCCTCCAAGTCCTCGGGGGGTCCAGAAGCTGGACCTGGTGGCTGAGGCTCTAAGGGAGGGTAGAGCTCCCCCTCACTGCCAGTATGCTATGAGGAAGGGAAGGATGGAGGGCAAGCACCAGGGCCACCAGCCCCTTCTTCCCTCAGATGAAGGAATTCAACTCGCTGCTCCCTCTTCCATCAGACCCCAGAGTCTGGGTCACCAGACCCCACCCCAAAAGAATTCTTACCTTGAGTCTAGGCTTAGCTGGGAATGAAGAAATGAGAGAAAGAGTGAGACATAGGAATAAATATTACTCCTTATAGTTGATGAGCTGCCCCCCATCACCCCTCCCCCGGGGACACTGGGCATCCCATGGGGAGAGACAGACAGACAAGGCTAGACCTGGCTAGGCTGGGCAGTCACCTACCATTCTGTGGAAATGTGACATAAAGGTTCTTCACTGGCTCTGGGGGGAGGACACACTAATGTCAGGGGCCCAGCTCCCACCCTGATTCTTAGTTGACCTTTCTGTGGAGGGAACTCACCAGACTGTCTGCGGCCACGACGGATAGCGCAGGGGCCTGGAGATGGAGCTGTGGGGGGGGGCAGATCAGAACCTCATTATGAACCCAGCCCCAGGCTTCTGGGAGGAGGGGCTGGGGGCCAATTCCTGAGTCCTGGGGGAGAAGTAGAGGGCGGGACTCCAGGTTCCATCTCCTTTACCTGTGTTCCTTTGTCCAGGAGTGAAACTTCTAGCATCTCGAGGTTGGGGAGACCCAAGTAGGGGTGTTGCAGGCTCTGGGATAGGCTTACTTTTAGGAGCACCTGTGGTGAGAGACCTGGGGCTAATAACCTACTTTTCCTTGGAAGTTAACTCCTCTACCTCCACACCTCCCAACCCAAGGCCCCAACTCACAGTGCAGGCTGTTTTCAAGAAGAACTTGTTTTGCCTGAAAAGACACAAGGATGAGGGTGATGAGCCAGTCTCTGAGCACCCCAGCCCCAGTAATGGTGCTGCTACGCGACAGGTGCATTGCACGACTGATGACAATTCATCCTCACAACCCTGTGAGGTCAGTGCTACTACTCCTGGTGAGGAAACTGAGATCAGAGAGGTTGCCCCAAGTCACAAAGCAGGAACACGGTGTAGCTGGGATTCAAACCCAGGCGGCCTACTCTGCAACTTAACCATCGTGTTCTAAGAGTCCCCTGCGCTCGTGGTCTTCCAGAACTATAGGCGGGGGTGGGAGTCTTCACCGCTCCGACGGCCCCCAGCTCTGGCAGGAGCTGTACCTTGGCTGGGATAGAGGCAGGGTGGTTCTCAAAGAAGAGGCGCTGGAGACAGTGAATCCAGAGCCTCTTCTCCTCTTGGTTCTTGGCCTGGGGGTAGGTGGGGACAGAACGGGAAGTCAGGTGTGCGGGCTAGGGGCTTGCGGGAACCCTGTCCACCCGGCCCCACTCCGCTCACCTGGAGCAGGTGCCTGTGCTTGGGAATGGTCAGATCGGACACCTTGAACCCTAGAGGGTCACGAGGACTCTCGCTCACACTCAGGTTGCAGCACTGGATAGGGGAGCAGAGAGGGCAGCAGGCTCAGAGCCGTTGGACTCAGCGACGTGCCCCTTGCATTTGAGTCCCTACCCCCTAGAACAGCAGTTCTCAACCTGTGGGTCCCAACCCCTTTGGGGGTTGAACCACCCTTTCACAGGGGTCGCCTAAGCCCATCGGAAAACACCTATTTCCGAGGGTCTTAGGAACGGAGACACCGCTCCTCTATCGTCTCCAGGCGGGTCCGCCTACCTGCAGATACGCCCACATACAACATGAGGAGCTGTGTTAAAGTTCCTAGAAAGATGTGCCCTGTATGGTTGTATGGGGGTCCCCTAGCCCCCCCCCCCGGTTGACCCTCTCCACCAGGCTGGGCTCTGCTCTCCCTCCCTGCCTGCATCTGGATCAAGAGGTGCTTCCCCCATGAAGACACTTGCCTGGTGGGCAAATCCAAGTCCTCCCCCCTGCATTCTGCTGGCCTCCCTCTCCTTATTACACCCTGGCCCATCCTCAGACTCAAGAAAATATGGCCCTTTCAAGCCAGGTTGTCCTCCTTGCAGACCCTGCCTCCGGCCACCCCTTTAGGTAGACAGGTATAGGTACATAGAATATAGCCTGCAGGTAACATTTCCGCCCTTCCCCCACCCCAGAACTCACAAAGATGTGACCCTTGTAGGTGTATTCCGGTCCCCTGCGTTTGGCCACGAGCAGCATCCGTGAAAATAGAAAGAGCAGCCGCTCACCCCCTCGAAGTCGGGGCCCGCCCCCTCCGCCACCTCGGAATGAGCCTTCTAGCACCAGCTCCCCGAAAGCACTGAGCTCCGGGCCCGTCCAGCCGCCCAGCCGCCGCTGTACTTCCTGCCCGGACACAGAAACACACGGGTGGGAGGCACATAGGGCATTAACAACCGGGCCTTGCTGTCCCAGCCCGCCCTCCGAGATCACTTCTGAAGCACTGACCATCCCCCCAAAGGCCCTTAAGTCCACTCCCCTCATCCAGCACACCCTGGAGTCACCTGGAGGCGTGCAGCATGTTCCTGCTTGCGCTTCATGTCATTGATGTACCAGGCCACCGCTGTCATGGACACGATGGCCTCCTCCACCATCTCGCGGCCTTCGGTGCCTGGGCCCTCCACCCAGTGCTTGCCTAGCTCCTGCCGGGCAGCCGCCGGGCACCCAGGGAAGGGAATAAAAACAGAGAAAAAGAAAGAATGATAATGACAGAGAGAGAGAGAGAGATATAAAGGTAGGAGCAGAGATAGAGACCCAGAGATGGAGAGACACAAACAAGAAGAGACAGAAAATGGAATCAGCTGATGCCAGTCCCCACTGCCAACGAGACCCTAGCCCCAGCACTGGCCCAGTGTGTAGGGACTGAATGCCTCCCCAGGCCTTGCCCGGCTTGTCCTGGGTTCACCCTCCAGAAGCACCACTGGGTGGTTCATGGGCAGGACCTGGCCCTTCCCAAGCAGACCCCAAGGGCCACAGCGAACCTGCAGCAGCAAATGGTACTTGAGGATGCGCTGAACAGGTTTCAACAGGAAGCTCTGCAGGGGCAGCGAGTGGTGGAGCTGGGCCTGGCGCTCCTGCAGCCACAGGGCTGCTGGCGGAGACAGTGACAGCTCCCGGAGCAGGGCTAGAGAGCTGGGGGCACAGCACAGGTCAGAGGGGGGCGGGCAGCTCTGGTAGGCAGGGCTGGCAGGGGTCAGGGGCTGGCAGGGGTCAGGGACAGGTTAGGGAGAGTTCAGTTATTATCACAGTCTGGCAGGGGTTGGAGCTGGATGGGTCAAGCGGAGGGAGGCTGGCTGTCACAACAGATGGTGGGCACAACCTGGGCCCCTCACCTCGGGTAGTTCATGCAGTACAATGTGTAGATGTCAAAATCCTCGCTCTGCGGGTGACAGGGGAGTCAGCAAGACCTCAGACTTCCCATGACCCCCCTAGCACAGGCTTGCTCCTCACTTACCCAGGCACCAACCCGGATTGAGTCCTGCCCCACCCCCCACTCACCCTCTGCACGAAGCACTCTGCAATGCCCCCTGCACCGCTGCTGCCCTCCAGGTCCTCCAGGAGCTCGCTGTGGGGAGAGGAGAGAGTGAGGGACCGCCCAGCCCCACAGTGCCCGCCAGGGGAGGGCTCCAGGTGGTTGCCAGGATCTGTCTAGGGGATGTCACATCCAGAGGAAGAGTCCTCTGATCCCTACATGGAACATCAAAACCTGCCCAGACTTCCTTGGGCTGAGTCACATTCCTCAGCCTGAAATCTTGTCATAGCTGGCCTGAGCCTGGGTGTCTCATGTCATGACCTAGGAAGATCAGTGTCCTAATTTTCAGAGCTGTGATGATCTCAAGATGTCATTGTGATCACGAGATCTTGTCATGACTCTCAGATTCCTGCAATAATCTTACGATCTCGGCCCTGGCCAAATAGTTCAGCTGGTTAGAGCGTCAGGTTTGATCCCTGGTCGAGGCATATACAAGAAACAACCCATGAATGCATAATAAGTGGAATAACAAATCGGTATCTCTCGTTCTCTCTCTCAAATCAATTAAAAAATAATAATTTAAAAAAAGGAATAACTTGCCCCTGGCCAGTTTGGCTCAGCAGTTAGAGCGTCAGCCTACAGACCAGAGAGTCCCGGGTTCGGTTCCCGTAAGGGCACGTATCTCCGTTGCCGTTTGTCCCCGGCCTGGTTGGGTCGTGTGGGTGGCAACCATTTGATGTGTCTCTCTCACATCAATGTTTCTCTCTCTCTTCTTCCCTCTCTCCCTCCTGCTCTATCTGAAGATAAATGCAAAAATGTCCTCGGGTGAGGATAAAAAACAAACAAACAAACACCCTTATGATCTCCTGATTCTTGGAGTCCAGCGTCCTACTCGCTGGGGACCAACCATCCTGATTTGTCCCGGACTAAGGAGTTACCAGAACACAAATGCTCACACTGTCGTATCTCCAGGCCCCACCTGAGCCTTGGATGCATCGTGCTCCCAAGTCTGACACAGTGCTAAGACCCATCCCAGTGCCTGGACCTGTCCCCTTGTTTAGACTTGGACCCCATCCAGATCCTCAGGCTCCATCCCCTCACTCCTCCACCAGTCTGGGTCCTCCCTCCCAATCAATGTCTCAACACCTAGCCCCCATCTCCCAGCCCACCAGCCAGTGCCCCCTGACCTGCTGAACTCGTAGATGTCCTCGATGTTTGCAAACAGTGTGCCCACCTGCTCTGTGCTCAGCCCCAAGACCCCGCCTTCCAGCAGGGGGCCCAGGTAGTCCTGTGGGGATGACTGGGGTTACTGAAGTATAGGGGCTGGCCTGGGTCCCCAATGCCCCCAGGTGCCCTCCTGCCTCACCTCCACAATGCTGCGGAGGTCCCGGACATAGGCCCGCTCTGTCTCCACAATCTCACGGGCCACACGCTCCAGCCTCGAGGGTTTCACCAAACCAGGGGTCCCCACAGGCGACAGATGCAGGCGGATGGGGGGCCCTGGAAGGGGCTCTGGCCTGGAGGCTGAGCAGGCAGGGGTGGGCCCTGGGGCCAGGTCCCCCTCAGAGCCCACTGTGCTCAGGGATGTGGAGCTCCCAGAACCTCGAGGGGAGGCCATAGCAGGGGTTGTGGAGGCTGCTGGGGTTGTGGAACAGGAGGTCAGGGGGACTTCCCAGCTGAGTGAGTGCTCTCAGCCCCCACACTCACACACACTTAGTCAATGTCTTTCCTGAGGCTCCCTCTCCTCTTCCAACAGTGCTGCCTTGGTCCGGTCCAGTCCTCTCCCATCAGGGTCCTCTCTGGGCTTCTGGCTTCCACTTCTCTTATTCACCTCCATGCATCAGCCTGGGATATCTTTATTAATTTGTCCATCTGGCCCTGTCACTCCCATGAGTATAATTCCTTCATGCCCTCAGAATAAAATCCAAAGTCCAAACTCCTCAGGTCTAAAGAACGCTGTGCAAGGTGGCCATTAGAGAGCATTCCACACCACATCTTATACTCCAGACTCCAGTCACACTCAGCTTCTTTCAGTTACTTAAATAAACAGCGTACTCTTACCCCTAGGCCTTTGCATACACTGTTCCCTCTGTATGGAATACTCTTCCTTACCTTTCCCAACTCGTTTCTCCTAATCCTTCTATTCTGTTTAGATGTTCCCTCCTCCGGGAACTTCCTCCCCCGACCTCCCAGACTAGGTTCCCACAGCCCCCTGGGCTTTCCCCATCCCAGCTGTGACCACTCTGCCCTGGGATACCCACTCTGGACTGTCACTGTCTAGGGATGGGTCCACCTCCCCCACACTTGGAGCTCTGTGCAGGCAGGGCTGAGGCTGTCCTGGTCACCCTGTGTTGCCAGCATTGCCCAGCGTTGGGCCAGCTACAGAGGCCTTCAAGGTGTCTTGAATAAAGGGATGAATGACCAGAAGGTTCCACCCCTCCCTTGCAAGCTCACCTGTCGGAGTCTCACACACAGCTGCACAGTCACACACTTCACTTCTGTGGTGGGGGCCAACGGGCGAGCTGGGTTTGGACAGGCTCAGTCCACGGGCTCCCTCTGGCATGGCTGAGTGGCTCAGCGGCTTCTGCAGAAAGACCCCCTTCTTGGATATCAGGACCCCATAGGCCTCCCTGACGCCCACACTCACAGATTGGGGGCTGAGAATTAGGAGTGTGGTCTAAATCCAGGGAGGGGCTTCTGGGAGTAGTAACTCAAGGGGCAGACAGAGGCAAAGTGATAGAGAGTGGGGGAGAAGGAGAGAGAACATAGAGAAAAAGATGGAAAGGCAGAGACAAAGAAGAGTGAAGATAGCAAAAGAGTCGCTGAAGCTAGGAGTCTGGTCTGCTTGCGGCTGGAGGCTCAGGGATCCTGGGAACGGTTGGGCTCTGGCTGGAGCCGAGGGTGAGGGGCAGGGCTGGGAAAAGCCGTGGGCGGGAGGCCGCGGGGTCCCAGGGGAGGGCGGAGGAGGCTGGGGGACCGGATGCCAGGGTCCTGCAGACAGATCCCTCCCCCACCGAGAGCTGCGAGCTGGGGCGCTGGCCCTGAGCCCTCGACCCCCCCCTCCAGCCAGTCCCTCCACGATCCACTCTCTGTGCCCAGCGCCTTCCCACACCCCGCCAGCCCCCAACTCCCGCCAGGCCTCCGCTCGTCCCCCGCCGGCACGCCCCCTCATTGTTTAGCGGCAGCGGCGCCGCCCCCTCCCCCAGTCTGTCCGGGCCTCTCGCCTTCTCCCTCACCTCGGGGAGTCTCCGGCCCGAACCGAGGCAGCCCAGCTCCTATTGGACCCCTGGCATGGTCCCGGGGGAGACGCAGAGCGCACTCCTGGGTCCCGGGTCTCTCAGCAAGTCAAGGGTGTGAACTTCGGGCTCTCAGGCTCCGGGAACCAGAATCCGAGGTCTTTTGGAAAACGGGGTGCAGCGGTCCGAATTTCTTGGTCCTGTAAATGGAGGATGCTGGGAGCCTGACACTTGAGTCTCAGATGGGGCTACTGGGGACCCACATTCCTGAGACTTCTGGATAGGGCAGTGAGTGGCTTGGATTCCCGAGTTCCCCTAACTCTAGGAGCAGGAATTAAACCACTTCCAGGTGGCAGTGCAGGCGAGTCCCAAATTCCTGGGTCCCCCTGAAGTAGTGGGCGCTTCTGCCCAAAACAAACTGGTTGGGGCGCTAGCAGTCCAAAACTCAAATTCGTCCAACCACGGGAGTCTTGGGTTCGGATTTCTGGGAACCCTGGGACGGAATCTCCGGTTTGGGACCCTAAATTCTTCAACCCGGGGTGCAAGAAGCTTGCCCTCCAGGGTCGCGCGGGGCTGATGTCCTGGACTCCTGGCTCCAGGAGGAGGCGCTGGGCACCTGAGTATCTGGGGTCCTCTAGCCTGCACGCGGAAGCCTGTGCTTCGGGGTCTCTAAGGACGCGGTGCAGAGACTCCGAACGCCTGAGCCCGCGACTCCGGACCCCTCAGGCTCCAGGATGGGTGGCACAGGTCTAAAGCAGCGGCGGTGGCAGCACCACTTCTGCAGCGGGAGAGTCTAGTCCCAGCTGTGGGACGAGAGACGGTCGCCTGAGACTTCCCCTCCCCCCAGCCGCCTGGGCTCACATCCTGTTCCCGCCCGCGGGGGGGAGGGGTCGCCTTCCGGCCGTCCAGCCAGCTAAGGGTTAAAACCCCTCCTATTTGGGTTCTGAATATTCATGAGAAGGCGAGTCCGGGGCAGGCTACACTCCCACATTCCAAACTCCTCGCGGACTTTTCCCTTTTTCAGCAAGGGCCTTCGAGGCGTGAGAATCCGGAGCCGGTCACGCACTTTCTCCTATTGGTCAACCCCAAAATTTTAATTTGCATATACAATACAAAACGGAACTGTCCGGGAAGATCACGTGGCTCAGAACAACTGAAGGACCCCACAGCGAAGGGGTGCGGCCGGAGCTCCAGTGGCGCAATCGGTTAGCGCGCGGTACTTATACGACAGTGCGAAGCGGAGCGATGCCGAGGTTGTGAGTTCGATCCTCACCTGGAGCAATTTTGATTTTTCCCTTCTCATCAGCTTTTATAAACTTAAACATTTTATAAATCGACATCACTTAGAGGAATGACTATTGCGATTTCGGGGCTGGAAAGACTCCAGGGACTCTGGTGACCGTCGGTTAAGGAATGTTCTGTATCGTGGGGAGGTGCCGTTTTAATCTTGGCCGCTAGAGGGTGGTATCGCCTTTTAGATGCCTGCACATTTCTTTGGATCAGCAAATCTCAGTTTAAGACTTGAGCAGATGTGTCAGGCTGTGGGTCCTCCGTAAACCGTGTATATGGCACGGCCTCTTTCTCCGTCTTGATTTTTTTCCCCCCCGTTTCATTGAGATATAGTTACTGTATAACATTGTACTGTATTGGTCCAAGGTCTAGCATAATGATTTATGTATAAAATGTGAAACAATTATCATGGTAAGTTTAGTTAACATTAGTCACCTCACATAGTTACAAATATTTTTTCTTGTATGTCTTGGAGTTTTAACTCTTTTTTTCCCTCCCCAGTTCCGAATCGATTTTTTCCCCCCAACAAATACCTAACATCCATCCACTATGTGATCAACTACTATTTACGGTTTAGGCATGAATGATACTGCAGTGAAAAGACAAAGTCCCTGTCGCTAAGGACTTGACATTCTAATGGGGAAGGCAGATTCCTATAAACACAGGAACTAAGTACATTTCGTACGTTTGGTGGTCATAAATGTCATAGAAAAAGTAGAACAAGGTAAGAAGGATGGCGGAATGGGAAGTGGGGTGTGGGTTACAATAATAGTCAGGAACCTCTCACTGAGGAGACGTTTGAACAGAGGCCTGAAGGAGAGGAGTGACCAATAGGGATACTAGGGGGATTCCAAGCAGAGGGCACAGCCAGCACAAAGGCCCTGTGGCTGAAGTATGTCAGATGTATTTATTGGTGGAGCAGCTGAGAAGCCAGTGTGGCTATAGCAACATTGACCAAAGAGAGAATCAGTCCATATAAACTGGTTAAGAATGTAGGACTTTGGCTTTTATGTGATCTTACTCAAGTGTCATGACAGGTTCCCTTTGTTTGTCTAGTGGGGGCAGTGGGGAGAAACTGAGGGCAGAGGTCTGAGCCAGGAAACTAGGGAGGGGCTGCTGTGATGGTTCAGATGGGAGATAATGCTGGATACAACCAGGGTGAGGGCCAGAGGAGGACGCAGGAGGGTGGATTGTAGATTTAGATGAATCAAAGAGGATTGCTGTTGGACTGGGGTGTGGGTTTTAAAGAGGAGTCAAGGGGACGCCCAAGTGTTTGGCACTGGTAGCTGGTGCCCTTTTTTTTTTTTTTTTTTTTTTTTTGAGAAGGTGAGGAACAAAACCGAGATGTTTGTTTCTTGTTCTTTCAGTGTCTGTAAATGTCTGCAAACCTTGCTCTTTCCCTCTGCCTCCCCAATGTCTTTAAGTCTCTGGGTTTCTATCTTCTCCAACCCTCTTTTTAAAAATGTGTGTGTGTGTGTGTTTGTTTTTAGAGAGGGAGAAAGAGAATCATCAATGTGAAAAAGAAACAGTTGCCTCCTGTACGGTGCAGTGCGTGGGATGACACTCAACCGAGCCACACCGGCCAGGCCAGGACAACCCTCTTTTTTTTATGTATGGGGACCAGAGAGGGCCCTTTCCCACAAAAGTTTCCAGGAAGAGGGGATCAAAGGTCAGAGCCTGCCCACAGGCAAGGGGGCAAGGGGAGAGGGCCAAGGACGGGTGAGAGGCCATGGAGGCGTGAGGTGGGCAGGGGAGGAACTCGAGGGGAGGAGGGGAGGGAGGACACTACCCCGGGGGGAATGAGTTGGAGGAGGGCAGAGGGAGCAGAGGGGTGGGCAAGGGAGGGAAAAACAAGGAGTGAGGGCAGGGATCGAGAGAAAGGGGAGAGGGTGGGGGGCGGAGAAGAGGAGGGGAACTGGGAGAAAAGTGGGGGTAAGAGACAAGGGGCTGGGGGTGCTGGAAGGAAAAGATTAAAAAGGGGAAGAGGAGAGGGTTACTAGGGGAGAGTTGGAGAGGGGGAGGAAAGACAAGGGGAGGGGAGAGGTGGAGTAGGCGGGTAAAGAGAGGAGGAACTGAGAGGGAGGAGAGGAGGGGTGAGGGTGGGAAGGGTGAGCAGAGGGAAGTGGGGGGGAGGGGAGAGGAAAAAGGGTGGGGAAAGAAGGAAGGGGGGTCGAGGGGGAGGAGGCCCCGGCGGAAGGGGGGTGGGGCGCGGGTACTGACGCGAGGCGTCTTCCGGGCTCCCGGCCCCAGGGTGGGTCCTGCCGCCTGTTGCCTTGTATGGTCCGAGGACGCCGCTGCCCCAGGCCCCGCCCCCACGCGCCCGAGACCCGTGCACCCCGGGCTCGCGCTTCACTGGCGCGGAAAGGGAGCGATACCAACAGCCCAAACTTCTCTGCTCCCGGCAGGCCGAGATGCGGTTCTCTCGGGGCCCTAGGGTGCCCGAAAGCCCGAAGCTACAACTCGGCCATTCGTACCGGGGCTGAGACACCAGGGCCTAGAATTCTAAGTGGCGGAGAGACTCACTCCGAGATTCCAAAATGTGTCGACATAAGACGTCCAAACTTGTAAGAAGTTTTTGAGTTTACTTGAGCCAAACTGATGACAGTTGCTGGGAAGGAAAATCTCGAGGGACTGAGAAAATGCTCCAGAGAATCGGCAGATTTGCATCTTATCTTATACAGTTACAATCAAAGGAGGAGGGGTGAAGGGGTTACATGAAATCCCTTGGTGATAGATTGGGACCTCGGGAAGAAAGCAAAGCAGAGAAATCTGTGAGACTGGATAACAAGTAAAGAGACAAATACTTCTTTTACATTGGTAGGTACGGGATAGTTAACAGTTAAGTTGACAGCACAGAGAGATGATATGCAGGAGAATGACAATGAGGGGTTCTGTGGTCCTGTGTGCTGGTGGGAGCTTGTGCCCTGAGGGGATTACTCTAGCATTCCACAGGTATGTTATCTTAGGTGGGAAAAGTCCTTGGACAGGCTCAGTTAAGGCAAAGACTGACCTTTGTCGAGAAAGATAGGTGCCTAGGGCATGACTACCCACCAGGATTCCCTTTTGCCTATAAAGTTTTAATTTTAGACCATTGTACGTGGTTACTTTAGGTCTCTGAGTGTGTAAGGTTTGCCAAGCAGGCCTTCCCTGAGCTTGTCAGGTTTAGGTTATGTGGCTCCTTTTTGTCCACAGTTGCCATTCCAGAATCCCGGGGCCTTAATGCTGCCTCCACCAAGATTGCCGGAGTCTCAGCTCCCCACAGCCCCTCAGGTCCTGGATGCCCGGGTGGTGGGCCCCCAGGACCGAACCGCAGGGGCCGCCCCGCCCCCGCCCGCCCTGGGCCAGCGCCCCGGCACATTCCGTTCTCCCCGCGCCGCCCCACCCTGCCCCCTCCGCCCGCGGGGACTGAAACATCCCCTCCCCGCCCGGCCCAGCCGAGAGCTGGGTCAAAGAGCCCGACCAGACTGGAGCGCCTTCGCCCTTACCACGCCCTGGGAACTGGCTCTCCCGGTTTTTACCGGGTGACCTCACCTGGCCCCGCCCTCTCAGGTGAACGGCCGGTCCCGGTGACATCACTTCCTGCCAGGTAAGTGCCGCAGGCTTCTCTGCTCCGGAAAGGTTTGGAGGAGCTATGGATGGACTCTCCCCGCTTCAAAAAAGGGCCACTCCATCCACCCTACTCTTCGCTGCCTCTAGACCGCAGAAAAACCAGGATTCGAGTTTACACACACGTTTTTTTATTTAAAAATTCCAAAAAACACAAAAATAAACTTTAACAATATATATTACTTAATATATTATAGCATACTTATAATAATTATTCGATCATTTCCAGTATTACAAAAAGAAGAAAAATACAAGGGAAGCAGACGACTCAATATATATAAATACTATAAAATCTATTAGAATAAATAAAGTCGTCATAAATAAAGGACCCAATGGCTGGGGGGAGGAGGTTGACAATGACTTTTGACTACTTGCTTTTGGAGGGAAATTTGAGCACCAGGACTGACCCTCAAGAGAGGCTCCAGTCACCAAGTCACACTGGACCTCAGGGGTCTAGGAAAAATCAGGAGGGGGAAGTAGGGGCCTATTATTCACAGCATCGGGAAGGTGAGAGGTGGGGTGGAGAGGGCTCACTGCCACCCTCAAATTTGCTACATCTTTAAAAAAAAAAAGACTCCATAATACACTCCTTCCTCCAACACCAGAAACACTGAGCTTGCACACTGGGGACCTGCCCCAGCATGGGGTCAGGGGAGTGGGTTAATGCATCTTGGAAGGCAGTGGGGCTACTTGATTAAGAGCTCCCCAGTTGCCCACAGCACAAGAGAAATGGCCCCACCATGAGATCCAGCTGATCTGTACTGGGCAGGCACTTGTCACTCAGACACTGAGATACGATTGAAAATGGGGAGTCGCCGAGGGGCTACGGGTGGCTGGGGTGGCCCAAAAACCCCAGCCTCGAAGACAGGAGAGTCAGACCCTCCCAGGCTGCTGCCGCTGCTGGCATAATCATCAGGATCAGATCCCAGGGAGTGTGCAGAGGGGCTCCGAGCCAGGACACCCCCAGGTCCCCAAACACTGCTGGGGGTGGCCCTTCGGCAGGAGGGGCAACAGGCTGGTGTGGGGTCCCTTCGGGCCACAGGGGTCCCAGGGGCAGCAGAGAAGGCAGAGGGTGAAAGTGGAAGGTCCCCAGGTGGTGGTGGTGGGGAGCTGGAGGGAGAGAAGGACAGGGAAGGGCCTGGCAGGCCTGCTGGTGGTGGTGAGGATCTGCGGCCGGAGGGCAGGCCTGAGAAGCTGATGCTCTGACGTAGCACATGGGGGTGGCCAGGGGAGGCCAGGTCCTCATTGGGGTTGTGGATGAAGTGGCAACGTGAGCCGTAGGGGCAGCGGCCCTGGAGGTAGAACTTGTGGCAGAGTTCTGTCTTGTACTTGGGGTGGCGACTGGCCTGGCGCAGCTCACCCTGGCCGTGGGCAAACTGGCACTTAGCCCCATAGCGGCAGCGCCCACTCTCTGAGAAGGTCCGACATAGCTCGGTCTTGTATCGGGATGAGGTGGTGGGGGTTGCAGTAGGTGAGGCCGACAGTTCAGTGCCTAGGCGGGGAGCCAGGGGTGCGAATCCTGGGGGTGGAGGCACCCAACCGCAGCTTCGACCTTCCACCAGGCTGGTGGACCGGCTAGGCAGGCGGGTAGTGACCCCAACAGGTCTGGAGTCGGGTGAGCCTAGGCTCCAGAGTCCTGAGGAAGTCCAGCCAGGGCTGGACTCTGTATCTCCATGGTCGGATGTCAGGTCAGGACTCAGCGACAGGAGGCTCTGTGGGAACAGGGATCAGTTAAGACACGGAAAATGCAGGGTGACGCCCCTCCCCAGCTGCAGGGCACCTCAGAGCTTGCCAGTCTGGTTTGTGGGCTCCTGGTCTGAGCCCCACCCACTCACAGAAAGCAATGGGTTCGGATCGCAGGGATCCCGAATTGGAAGTTCTGTTTCGGGGCTGAAGCCTATCTCAAGTGACCCAGGAATCCTGGCTTCCCAATTCAGGGCACACCACTGTCCACCAATTTTGAGCCTCTGGGCCTCTCGGGATCTGACTCCGTGAATCGTCTTCTCCAGTTTCACAACTGGAGGGCCGGCAAAGGTAACCTAGGAGTCCTCCTCTGGGTCAGGGAGTGGAGACAGAAGTCGCCTTCCCCTCACCCCAGAAACGCCTCCGCACGCAAAACCGCGCCCTCAGCAACTACTTGGGGAGGTGGGGGGGCAGGTATGGGGCCATTTCCGCCTCCAGACAGCTCTGGTCTGAGAATACTCCAGCTTTTCATCTCCAAAGACCACTCTACCCATGTTTGGGCCAAGACCCGAAAGTCGCTGGCTCAATTTTTCACCGCCAGGGAATCACACTGGTCTGAGAAGGAAAGGAGGACCCCGGGCCGGAGCCAGCAGTGTTCAGGAACTCATTTGGGTAAGGAGCCAGGGGTCCCAGGCCGGAGTGTGCGATGCCAGAACGCTCTAGTTTGAGAAGCGAGTCAGTCAGGCCTGGGACCGGACCCCAAGGACCCCAAGGTGCGGTCGGAGGGGACTCACCTCGTAGATAGCAGTGAGATCCATGGCAGCGCAGAGGGCCAGCGCAGGGGGCCAATCTGCGGGAGAACCCAGGCGAAAGTGGGAGCGCTGGAGCCAAGCTGCGGTTGGTTGGAGAAGCTGGTGCTTATATAGAGACAGAAGGGGGCGGGGCCAGGGTGGCGGGCCCTGGTGGGTGGGGCCAGGAGGGGCGCTTCCCGGACGCGCACCCCCGGCGCAGCCCGCCTGGCCTGGGACTGGTTCCCTTCCGCCCCGCCCCGCCCCCGGTTGAGACACGCCTGAGCTGGGCCCACGGGTGGCCTCGACCCAGTGGGGAGTGTGTGGGATGGGGGTGTTGGCACAGTTTTCAAAGCTGGAAACTGAGGTGTAGGGAAGGGAGGTGGGGGCAGGGCTCCAGGGGAAACTGACAAGAGCTGAGGCCGAGGCAGTGGGCGTGCGCACGAGAGAAAGACCCACGCAGGCGGGGAGAGGCACGGAGGGAGCCAGAGACTGAGAAACACAGGCAAAGAGAAACACACAGAGAGATACACAACAGCGGGAGGGAGAGACACACACTCAGGGAGGCATACGAAGAGAAGGAAAAACAGGATAAGGAGAGGTGGGGAGACAGACAGAAAAGACATGAAGAGACAGTCCCAGAGACAAATTAAGAGCAGCGAGAAGCTAGAGGGAAGGTCAAATAAAGAAACAAAAAGGTCCCTGTCCTGTTAACTCAGTTGGTTAGTGTCGTCCTCATCTGCTAAGGGTGCGGGTTCAATCCTCCCCCGCAGGGCACATACAAGATACAACCAATGAATACAGAAATAAGTGGAACAACAAAGCAGTGTTTCTCTACTTCTCTTAAAGAAATCAGTCAAGAACTGCACCTCAGTTTCCAACAATTTTTTAAAAAGAAACAAAAAGAGGTAGAAAAGGGAGAAACAAACACCCCCCCAAGACAGAAACCCAAAGGAGCAAAATAGAGAGAGGAGACCAACCGGCCTGGCAGAGAATTCTCTTGTGAGACTTGCCCACCTGTCTTGGTTTCGCTCTCAAACAGCGCAGACTCTGATACTTGGCAAGACTGGAAAGGGACCTCCTTTCCCAATTTCACAGCCGCTGTAGCCTCTCACCCTCCTTAGACAGTGGCACTTCTGATGGCTTCCTCTGGGTTAGGCACTGTCACATATATGGTCGTGTGAAAATGCTTAAAATATGTTAACTCGACGAGGGGTTATTGTGTGCATTTTACACATGAGAACCGGGAATAGAGGCCAAGTTACTCTCCTAGCTCTGTTTAGTAAATGGCAGCAGCCTAATACAAGGACCTTAAATCATGTTAAGAGTGTGCCCTCAGAAAATTAAAGATTGGAAAGGGCAAGATCTTTTATCACGGTGGATGGTTGCCTTGACTAAAAGCTGTTTTGAGATGGAAGAAATGGATCATTCCCAACTGATGGTTGGATGGGTGTCATAGAGGTGTGTGCTTTGAGGGAACTCTAAACTTGCCAGGAACACTCACCACATTCTCAAGTCGTTTATTGTCAAGCGGTTGCCCTGTATGAGAACTTTAAGATCTTAAGAGAATATTGGTTAGCTGGCTGCCCTCCGTGAAAATATGGGGGCAGAAATCATTGCCACGGAGTGGTTTATAATGATGCGAAGTTCACTCTTGCAGGCTGTGACTTCGGGCTTGTATTGAGGTGAGGAGATTCGATCTGGCACGCAGACCTGCCTCATCTGACAGAGTTCTGGGGAATCCCTGGTGTGGAGCTGTCTGGGGCCGGCCGAGGGGCCTTCCCGCTGGTCCCGTGAGCTGGGTGGCTGCGGGCGGGTCTGGCACGGTTGCAGCCTCCCGCTCGCCCGTGACTCACTCGCAAGGGGCGGGGGAAGGGGGCTTCCTGGAAGCCGTGACGTGACGAGGAGGCTCAGCTGGAACGCGAGTTTCTCTCCTGTAACCAGGGCTTCTGTCGCCTGTAAACAGAGGCTCGAGGACAACGGGAAAGGGTGAAAGGGGAGGTGTCTGGCACCCGCCTCCCGGCTGGGCTCCAAATCCCTGTGCCACTAGTAGGACGAAGGCAGCGGGAAAGCGGGAGGTGGGGGGCACCTTGGGATCCCCAGAGCCCAGGTTGGCTCCGGTTGCGACCCTGGAGGAGGGATTTCAGTTTCAATTCTCCGGAGATTGGGAGCATTCCCCATCCCTGAGTCAGGCTGACCCCCTCCCCTCTTCTATATGCTGAGTCATGGGCCGGAGAACTTGGATGTTTGGGATAGGGTGACTCTCAAAGAGGCTGGAGGGGGAGGGGTGCTAAGGCACAGGGAGGGACAGACCACCCACTGAAACACACACGGGTATCCCAGAAGCCCGGGCCTGGGGCCCTCCTTGCTCAGATCTAGGGGTCCGGGGTCTCCAAGCCACCTCCAGGCTCAGACCCCTTCCTTTGTCAGATCTGAGTCCGAGCCCCCAGTCCTTCTGCCCTCCGATTTAGCAGCCCAGCTCCCATCCCCCTCCAACCTCGTCCTGGCCTCAGGCGTCCCGGCCTAGGAGGAAGTTCGGGGCAGAACTCCTCCCCACTCCGCACGTAGCCAGTGGGAAAATCCGTGGCCCCACCAACGGCCGGGAATCCCCTTTGGAATGACGATGGGGATAGGGGATGGCCGGGGTACCCCGTGCAGGACACAGGGGGCAAGTTCTAGGCGGGTAGCAGAGGGGAAAAGGGGCGGAAACCAGAGAAGCTAAAAATACAGCGAGCACTTCCGGCCTAGGGGGAGGGGAACGGAGAGCAGAGTTTCCAGAAAAACAAGCGGGGACGGGAAACGCGGGGGTGTGAGAGCCCGAGTGAGTGCGAGGGCGAGCGGGGCCCTGTACTGGAGGCACGTGTGTGCCCGCTCCTGGCGGGATTGATTGGGCCTGAGCGGGTGCGGGGGGCTGTGTGCAACTGCGTGGGCCACCGTTGTGTGCGTGTGTCTGACGCTTTGTGAAGTGTGGGCGCTGCAGGTGCGAAAGTGTGTCCTAGACCGGGTGTGTGAGACCTGGGGTGCCTGCGACCCACTTTACTGTGTGAGGCCTGTGTCTTACAATCCCACTTGACATGACTGTGAATAAATGTGTGAAACCGCCTGGGCCTGTGATTGACTATACCATGTTGACTTTAACGATCTTGGGGTATGGGAGTGTGTACTCAACCCTGTCTTTGAAGTGGCATTCATGAAAACGTGTGACTGACATACCCACCTGCACGCCTGTGTGTAGCTCTGAACCACTGTGGGATCTTGGAATGACTAAGTGTGTGTAACAACTTGAGGGAGCCTAGTGAGGGTATGACTGTCCTCATGTGCGATGAAGATCTGTGCACACACACTTCAAAGTTGACTGTGTGTGAGTTATCCATGAGAGTATAGGCAGCTGTGGTTGTGTGCAAGGCCCCTACAGCTCAGCGTATATAGTGAATAGTGTTATGTGTCCGTGTTCTCATTTGGGTGGTGTTGCTGAAAACGTGTGAGGCCACTGTCTGGATGTGGTTCCTCTGTGGCCAGTCACAAGGCAGTGAAACTGGTGAACTTTGGATTCTGATGTCTAGAATGAACATGACGATGGGGAGGGCAGCTGGCGCACATCCCGCTCCATGTCACTGTTCCCGGTGGCCTCTGGGCTAACCAGACACACACACTGGCACCTGGGAAACCTTATCTCTCCCCAGCCAAGGCTGCTTTTGATACTGTTGTGAGCTGAGGGCAGGGCTGAGAGCCTGTGATGGGCAAAGTCTGTGATGAGGTGAGAGATAGCAGGATAAGTGGTGGTTAGAGGGTTGTTTATATATTCACAGGGTTGAACTGTTCCATTAGTCTGTTTGTGGGGTTGTGCTGAGACCCAGAGGACACCATGATTGTAGGATGGTGGGTTGTGCCACTCTCTGCTAGGTGGGGTAAGACCCTGTGTTTCTGATGTTTTACTGTGTTGCTGTGCATCTCATGTACACCCTTCCCTGAAGTGTGTGGTTGTGTCCCAGGTTGTACAATCTCTCTGTGGATTGAATAATCTAGTAAAGATCAAAACCAAGGTCCTCCATAACCTGTCCCAGTCCCTTCACTGTGGTCCAGGGCTCCACACCGTTCCATACACGTACCATCTCATTCCTGCCTCGGGGCCTTTAAACTTGCTATTCCCTCTCCCTGGAATGCTCTTCCCCCAATGTCCTTATTCTCAAGACTTATTCTCTCTCCTTCAAGTCAGTCTTCTCAGTGAGGCCTTCATATCTTCTGTCAAAAGTTTAAAAATTAAAAAAAAAATCTTGCCATCTATTTAACAAATAATAAATACACGTAACATCTATAGACCATAATAATGAATACCCATGAACCACTACCCAATCTAAACTCTCAAACCTAATTTTGTTTCTCAATAAAGTAACATATGGCCCCGGCCGGTTTGGCTCAACGTTGGAATGTTGGCCTGCAGACTAGGGTCCCAGGTTCGGTTCCCGCTAGGGGCACATACCAAAAATAAATAAAATAAATAAATAAAGTAACATATGAACATCCATAATACTTTCAACAATAAAGATAAAATTTTAAAAAAGTAACCTAATTCTCCACATGCAAATCCTGCATTTGTGTTAGGTTGACCCTTGAACTGGATGCTTATACGTGTTTTTTTTTTTTTCCAATAAATACTGCATTTTTCATTCCTTATGGTTTTAGTTTCTTGTGTTGACTCTACCTCACAGGGCCAGCTGTGCCTCAGTCTTCTGAGTATATGTGTCTGTGGTCTACATTTCCACTAGTACATGTCATGTACCGCCACACTGGAAGCTGGTGGGCTCTTCTGGGTAAAGGGTACATTTTTGGTTGTACACAGATAATTGCATCATGTTTGGTGGGAATATGACTTTGTTCTTGTATTTAATTAGAGATTAACTATGGTTAATGAGACGTGTATGGGTGCCAATCTGACAAAGCCTAGATTATGAAGGTCAGTTTTACATGTCAACTTGGCTAGGCTACAGTCCCCGGTTATTCAGTCAAACATTAATCTAGATGATGCTGTGAAGGTATTTTGTAGATGCGATTAAAGTCCATAATCAGTTCACTTTAAGTAAAAGAGATTATC